TGAAGTGACACTCAATAATAAAATACATTGAACAATACATATTCTTACCAACAGACGAGAGGACTGCTAAAATTACGAAAACATGCATCATGGAAAAATKCAGAAAAATATTGCTTAAYCCAATTAAGCAGAGGAACCAAAAGAAAATGTGATTCAGTTCAAAACAGTAGTCCAGCTATGACAAAATCTAGCATCTGAAATTAGGGACGGATTATTATGATGAGAGGTCACTAGGCATGATTATTCTATTATTAGTTCGTGTTTTGAATAAAACCAAATGACATATTATTGACACTTTACTGTCTATAGCCTTATTTTTCAAGAAGTAATGTTGGACACGTCTCGTCATGGATTCGAATAAAGAGACGTAAAGTATCTTTGAGTTCATTCAGTGGGGTGGTGCATATTTAAACAAGTAAGAACTTAAGTTTTAACGGTTAGCATTCAAAGTGAATGTATCATGACATCAAACTAAGAAATTTTGATGGTGGTTTTGATAATTCATTGTCAATGTACGTATAACATGATAATATTTATTAAGTTTATAATTTCAAGTTCAATATTTTCATTTTATAGATTTTTTATCGAAATTAGACCACATCTGAACAAAGTCTGGGGGCTACATACMGATTGATTAACTCTTTTTTGTCCTGAATCCCMGTATACAKTCTAGTGCTGATCTTAAAAGTGCGAAGCTTACTTTTGCTCTGATCCRCGCAATCGTTGAATTTCTCCGCCTTTTTATTGCCCCTTTTATTGGAGGCTTGCATTATTTACTCATAAGTTCTGTAGTTGTGAAAACGAGTGGTGAAAGTTCAGTGATCTAAATCGTTCACTTTTTCAGCGTACTTGCATTTCTTTCCATCTCCATGCATCTTGCAGATGTTGCGGAGTTCGAGATGTTCATACGTATCTGCATTTGGGTAACACACCATAACATCATAAAAGGGAGATCGCYGCTTTTCCCAGAACCCTCTCGCACGTATRCCAAGCCTTGCATCTACTGCTCTATTTGCATCTTTACTTAATTGTTCATAATTGGAGATGTCTTGATTTCTTTTTTTGATATCTATTTGCAACACTGCCTTTTGACATTTACGTAATATTGCAAAAATACGCAAATTACATCACTTCAAAATTTGATCAAATGTAATTCTGTTCTTTTTGGTCTCTCTAAACTTCTAATTGATAAACTTCAATACTGTTCAAAAYGYTTCTGCACATCTTCACTGGCTTCCTATTGCTCATCGAATAAAGTWWAAAATGATAGGCGCTTCATGGTCTCGCGTCCAGTTATAATGAAAAATTAAGCTCTGTTCATAATTGGTCCGGTTTTATATTCTAGTTATCCGAGAAGATGAGACTATAGTATTCTTACCCAAGGATACAGCGTGAACACCCGTTCTGGAAATCTAGGCCATCACTTCTGTATTATTATAAACAAAATACTTAACATTTTCACGATTTTGAAGGGTGTGTCATGCATCACACCGGTGCAAGTGAGCAGGGGGTCAATCGTTCCTTCGTATTCTTACATCGYTATTCAAAGAAAAAGCATTGATGTTCCAACTTTAGGCAAAGACTGCGTATTCAAAACTACAAAATAATATAAAAGGAGTAATTATCAAACGTCATATATAAATTGGACAAGAAATAGATCAAGTGATCAAAATGTTATTCCTTTAAGCATTAAACGACTATAACTATAAAAGATATTCCTTACTGCTATTCTAATAGTACTCTGCGAACAGAGGTTCTTTAAGAACCTCTGTTCGCAGAGTATTCTAATAGGAGTATATTGATGACATATAAGATTACTGTACTTAGAACTAGCGAGAGCGATTCATTTACAGGCAAAAACAATCAAAGACACTCTGTTTATAGAAATAACAAAACACCATTTTTGATGATCTCACTAATATAACTATGTTTTCAATTCAAAGTCCAGGTCGGCTTGTAAAAGAGTCTTGCTGTTTATCTAAACAAGCATTTTGTTCAAACAATATCAGAGGAAGGCGTAAAGAAGCCAATGTCATGCCAGCACCAAATCACTACCTCATTATTTTCTATGTTATTTTGCTCATAAAGCTCCTGTGAAATCAGAGTTAGTAGAGGGGAACTAACTCTGGTGAAATACTTCACTAGTCTCCTTCGCATCAGGTTCCGGTGCTACCGGAAACAGATGCGAAGGCGACTAATATTTCAAAAATTTAAATTTACTTTCATATACTCAAAAAGACTAGTTCGGTGGTTTTATCACATTCACAACCAATGGATTTTACCCATTAAGGAACTATATTTTTACTTTAACTGACACCGTTTCATTATTTTCAACACAGAGTATTCAGAAGTTGTAGTTCAGTAGTAGAGAAGCCATGCAACCAGAGGGCGAATTTCTATTGGTTATGAATATAATCAAAAATATATTGATTATACAGCTATTTCACAAATTTCGATTGTCGTATCATCGCTCTAAAAGGTTTTTCAGAGCGACTATACCAGCTTCATAGAGCCAAGAACTTGAAGGTCCTTCAATGAAGGGCAATTTATGATATACATAAATCATATCACAAAACCACACTGGTTAAATGCAGTTAGCTATCATGAGCTTCTAGTTTTTTGGCGGTTGGTTTTGAATTTTTGCTTGAGGCAATGACTGTCCATAATTCTAGTGATTTTTATGTTTTTGCTTGATTTCTAAAGTATACAGTCCTGGCACAAAAGTGCCATATTTTTGCAGTCATACAAAATCTATTCCATCTACTGATGCTCTTTTAATCACACATCGGAATCCTTAGTCTTGCTTTTATCTTTTTTCTGTAAAGAATTAAAAAGTTTTTTGTTAACAGGACTAATTATTCAGATAAAACTTACAAGGCATTCCTGCTATACATACAAATGGACAATATGGGGAGATTCAATAGCTTTGTAGTGTATATACCTTAGACATGTCCACTGCTGCATATGTAGCCATTGCATCGCCTGTGTCTGGGTTGTTGTTGGTTGGTTGGCCATTATGATCAGCTTTTGGACCAGACCGGGCATAGGATGTCTGAGATTCGGATAATCCTCGATTCTCTTCACCATTCACTGGGCTGTGAAGGAAAGGAATATGCATACAATTTAACTTGTGCAATAATATATTGGCTGATCATACATTATTATGAATCACCAAATGAATTCATTTGATCTGAATGCAAAGGATGAAACGTTAACGGATCGAGCCTGATTGTAGGACATATAGGATTACTATGTTTATTAATCCACTCATTTCTTTATAGCATTCTATAAACATACTATTGAGAAGGGACAGCACAAAAGCTGTCTAAAGAATTAAGACCCTTTTGATGCGCACCGTGAATTAATTGGCTTCTTTGGGAGGGCTGGATTTTCACGCTAGACACAAGACCCCTTTTGTGATGTACCCTCTCTATTCCTTATTGATATCTGTCTGTAAAACAAACTACTGCTCTCGCGCGAATCCTTAACAAGTGTTTACATGCACGTGTCTAGTTACACTGTAGTATGTTGACTGACAATACTGACAACAGATTTCAAAATGGACTTCAGTATTAAGTTGATTTTGGTTCTTTTAGTTTTCTTATCTTAAAAACAACGTTTGAAATGCACTTGAATATAAGTTCTTTAAGAATATGGAAAACAGTCTTCGCGATCGTTAAAAGCCAATCCTTTTACTAGCTTAGAAGGTTTTTGTTTACCTTGACAACAGTCTTCGAAAAGCACCAGAATTCATCTTAGTATAGTAATTTAGAGTTTTCGACTTCATGTCGACAAAATACGGTTTATGTTTACGTCTGGTGTGTATATCTTGACAGCGGTCGTCAAAATCAATTCGAATGCTTATATCTTTAAATAACTTGGTGTTATTTGACTACAAACTATAAAGTGAATACAGCTGAGTTGAAAGAACTCTGCAGAGTTCTTTTATTGTTTTATCTATCAGACCTGCTTTTGTTAGTTTGGTTTCAAGACTCATTAAAAGTGTTTACTTTGACCTAGATGTTGTTAGGCGTTTATTATTCGTCAATGAGAACTCTTTTTGCTACTCCTATATAGTTCACCGCAGGGAACTAAAAAAAACTTCCGAAAAAACGACTTCCGAACGACGGTCCTAGTCCGTCGTCTTAGAACTACGCACCTGATTTATTATTCAAAACCATTTTGATCACTTAAGACAAAAGATCATTGTTCGATGTTTAACACCTCGAAATGGACACCGAACAATAGGGGATTCTTTGATACGAAGGCGATTGGCAAAAAGAACGTACAATGATATACTTTGATTGTTTGATGTATTTTATAACGCTATTATTGTACTTACCGGTAGGGACTCCCTTCTTCGAGAGAAATATCTAAATACAAAAGAGTACAATTTTAAAGGAAAACTGAACTATCAATTATAATCAAAGCATTGCATATCACATGAATAAGAAACTGATGAATATGGTCACGTTAACAGAGAAACATTTTACCATAAAATATATTTTATGTGCGGAWTTTTTTTAAATAATAATTTTTAAAAATAACACAACACATATCAGTAATGTAATCGTATTATCTATAACTACTATATAACTGATTTTACATTGTAATCATATTCAAATTGAAGATGGCCTTTAGAAAGTCGAACTCTTTGAAATTTAAAAGTGTTGTGTTATTTTAAACATTATTGCATCAATTGTGCTTTTACGCTCACTTATTCAAATTCAGAAACGCCTATACACCGTATATACCGGTACACAAATGCTTAGTGAAACAAATTACTTACTTTCCTCCACTCTGTTTCCCTTCTTCTTGCAGCAGAAGTACCATACTAGTACAATGATTAAGATGACAACAATAGGGACCACAACGGCGATTGCGATAATAGCTTCTTCACTAATAGGAGATGGAGTAGTGATGGGTGTCGTTGTTGGTGTTGTTGTTGGTATTGGTGTTGTTGGTGTACCTAAACAGGAGTACGAAAGATAACCATGTAAAACTAGCCAATCAAAAACCGTTTTAATTCAAGGCAGCTCAAAACATCATATAAATGCTTGATTATAGTGCTTGAAAATAGTCTACATTGTTTATGCATCATGCTTCA